CACATACGTTCCTGTCTACGTACATATAAACTCATTCTTGCAAGGACTACTACAAACATTTTGACGACCTTGTATCAACCAAAATACATTAATTTTATTTGTAAAGACCTAAATTGCTTTATATGTATATAAATTTGTTGTTTCACTTTACAATTTGATTTTCTTGTTTTATACCCCTCTTATGGTGGGCTATCTAACTAACAAGGCCAAATGAAACTAATCTGTTTCAACACTCATACACTTCACTATAACTGATAACCCACTATAGATTCATCAGAATATAGGAAAACTGAAATTTTCACAGGTTAAAACTAGTATTGACAATTTCTCATCTCAAAAATAAAAAATTATTGAACAAACTGCATGAGATTGATGATAATCAAATGTCAAAACCACCTAACAGGATTTAAACACTTCAAAAACACACTACTGATGATTGGGGTGGGGGATAGTTGTGTAGTAGTTGATATAGGCGATGTGTAATTAAGTGTTGCTGTTATTTGGTGGTTGTGAGTTCAATCCCTGGATAAGTTAATGAAATCAGATATTTCTTGGCTAAGCAGGAATGAACAATAACCAACATCAAAAGGACAAAATAACACAATAATAAACACATATAGGATATCTCATATCTGTGCTAGAATAATGAACACCTGAAGATAGCCCAAGGGTACTTGGCATAAAAGGTTGTGTCTTTCATAACATCTGTAATAATCAAGATGAGAACAATCGTTTGAATAAAATCAAAGCATATTAATAATAGCTTATCTCAAAAATTAAAAGAAAATCATCTGATATTGCAAACAATTTTAGGATTTACTTATATCTATCCTTTTTTAAAAAATATTGATAATTGTTTTGTGGGCATCATTAAGTCCAACATTCAAAAATAAGTACAAGAAAAGTTAGAGAAGTGTGACACCCACCGGTGGTCATGGTCGCAGTTGCAGTCCAGTGCCAATATGTGACATCGACTGGTCGCGACATCAATATATGACACTGTGTCATCGGCCCGTGGTCAACTTCCAGTTGTGGCATGAAGTTGTAAGGTTTCTTCCACCAGCATTTAGGGTTGACTCATTGTCACCGCCACCAGCCTGTGTCCCAGTCGATCTGGTCGTTTCTGGTTCGATACCAGCATTGTCGTTCTCCGCTCACCTCCAAAGCTTGGTCACCGAAGTAACTGCTTTGATCTCAAGTCTAACCTACCCACATTGTGACTTTGATCTTAGGTAGACGAAATCAATAAGGCATTGGACCATAGTGCAAGCTGAATCTGGTGTAAAGGTGATACTGCACAAGTGTAAGTAAAAGAAAAATAATAAAACTCACAAGGTTCAAATATGTTGAGAAATAACAATTAACTTTATCTATCTGTTGAATACAGGAGTGTGTTTCTCTCCCGGCCTGTTTCTATGGATTTGTGACACTTTTTGTGTTTCTTAAGTGAGTTATGATATCTTAAGTCATTCGTCAATAAAAACTTGCTTTTGGTAGGAAGACTAAGTCAAAAAGGACGTGGAAATCTTTCGGTCAGCTCCTACAAGGCTGGTCTCCAACTGCAACTCCAAACTCTCTTAAAACTCTGCCGAAAAAACACTCTACTCGAGATGTTTGTTTATATGGACACCAACCAACTCCGGGGTGGGGCCTGTCGTGGTTTGGGTTCTTTGACAATCCTTAATTCCCAACAAAAATTCTCTTTGTTCTTAGGCCATGAAAATTAGTTACTTCCCATTTTTGGAAGATTAATCACTTTCCACTTTGGGGTTCCTCCCTCGTCCGTGAGGGAAGGTTGGAGGAGAGTTATCCTCCTAGACTCCTCCTCTCTCACATTGGTATCTCATACCAATCCCCTCAATGGGTGTTAACAACTTAGAAATACATTCACCTCCACCTATTACCCATGCTACTTCTTAGCCAATGATCTCTCGGCAGTGTGGGTGTGGCTAGACTGGCCCTCATGTTTACAAAATCCTTTTTTTTTCTTTTTCCTTTGGCCAAAACATTTACAATTCCCAGATTTCCATTCAATTCCTTATCACATTCCAAATCCACTTTAGCCAACTTTTAACTGGGTGGTTGTGTTTACCTGATAATTAAATTCTTTATTTTTCTCATGTCTTAAAATTCTCCTATCACCAAATGCCTATTTTTGACAATACACGTCTGACGCCAACAGTTTGAAAAGAATAATAACAACACTTTCATCTGCAATTTCCTTTCTCATACCAAGATTCGTACATACAACAGATGGGTCTCTTCACTGGGCCCAAGAACCAAAATTAAACGATATCTCTGAAAGATAATTAATGGCTATTCTTCAGGGTGGTCTCAAGCTGAAATTCCTCCACAGTCACATGCGCCAGCTGGCTTTGTTTATCTTTTAGAATTCTGTTTCATTTGGTGCATCATTCCCTTATCGTGACATTAATTTGACAGAATCACAGTCTCGCTCCTTCTTACTGATTTTCTGTCTTTTGCGAAAAATATCTTCCTTTTGTAAATAAAATAAATTCTTTTTTTTTAATGTCGCTCAGTCTATCTTTCGGTATAGCTCTTTCTTGCCTTAAGTATTTCCCGTTTTTAATTTCTATGGTTAATTAGTTAGCCAATTACCATAGCTAAATAGTGTCACAGAAGCATATAATTGATTAACACATTATTCTATATACCTGAATAAATTATTATTTTACATGTTAATATGAACTCTTTGACATTCTGTAACCTTCATCTGCCTTTCAACGATTGATTTTTTTATAACTGTTTTTTAAGTTTCAAAATTAATATTATTTGCTGATCATTTTTTATTTGAATATTTTTTCCATTATCATAACCACCTCTTTTAATCATGGGCTGCAATTTTTCTATCTGATGAATTTAGGAGTCATTCCATTAATTTGTTGTCTATAAAACCTTTTTTGTGTCAATGTAGGTAACAGCTTTGTAGAATGTGAGTGTACTGCTGTCTTGCATAAACATTCTTTAACTTCAAGCTTTTTGGCTGTAAAATGCTAATAAAAAAAAAAGTCATCTCCAAGAACTTACAATAATTCTCTGCATTTACCAACTTTGAAAAAATTTATTTTGATGCACACAATACTAACTTAAAGCTTAAATACTTACTCTTCCTCTACTATTGTCTTCTAATCTGTGTTGGTTGACTATTTCCATGAAGGACTTAACTGCTAGTTCAGCCATAAAGTCTATCCAATGTAGCTCTACATTCATCACTAAAAATTCCAGTTAACAGATCAGTTTTCATGTACTTCTTCACCCAACTTACATGTTTCTCTTTGTGGTGTTTGACTACTTAAAAATAGTAGTTTGGTTAAAGGCATGAAAGCAACCAATGTTTTTAATATTCTGCATCTTTTATCCTTGTTTATATTTGCAACACCAGCTTCTTCAAATATTTTCTTGCTGGTAAATCACTTTTCTTCCTTCTTAGATATGTGAAAAAAATTAAGACTATTTGTGACATTCTTGAAGCCAATTTTGTTTTTTTCTTATTCTCATAAAAAAAACAAAAAAACAAATCACAGTTGAGAAATTAGTTTTCATGTACTTCTTCACCCAACATATACATTTATCTTTGATATGTTAAATTATAGATGGTAGTTTAGTTAAAGACATGAAGCAATTAATATCCTTAATATTTTGCATCCTGTGTCTTCATTTCAATTTGAGACACAAGCTTCAAATATTTTCTTCCTGGTCAATCTACTTTTCTTATTGTTTTTAATTTTTTTCAAATCATTTTTTGGGACATTTTATTTTGTCCTTATCTTGCCAATGATCTCTTTTTTATTGTTCTGTGATCTTTTTTGCAATTTCCAATGTTATGCGCCTATCAATCAATCAATAAAACTTTATATCTTGTTTCTCTTTTGAGGTTGTCTTTCTCATGGCCCATAGCAATCTATTTGAAATGAAAAAATATAAATATTTTTATATATATGTTTATAATTGTGATTTTTTCCCTCCCTTTGTTAGTTCCTTAGTTTGCACAACTCTTACGCCCTGCCATTACCTCATAAATAATGGACTCTTCTGTTTTGATTGCATGGAATGACAAAAGACAGAGATACTACTTAGTTTCAGTGTAAAAAAAGAAAAATAGAAGTGTTTAACATTCATTTCAGAACGAAATTGAAAAGTTGTTAATTTCATATTCCATTTGTACCCCCTTACTTCTTAAAATAATTCCCAGTATTCAGATTTATGACTGTTATTGCAATATTTTGTTAAAGTTGTTAAGCTCAAATATTTAATTTCTATGGATATTTTATTGTTGTGGAACTTGTTGTAGTGCTTATTCAACCATTAACTGAAGAATTAAGATTCAGCAGAAAAAAAAATTCATAACACAGCTAATATATATGAAGGTAGTTTTATATAAATAACATAACCTGAACATAGTTCTATATAAAATTTAATAAATTCTGTGTACATACAGATAATGACGCTAGCTCACACAAACTGTAAGTGGTGAAATTAAGATTTCATATTAAAATAAAGTTTTGTACTTTGTGACAGAGAGAGATCCCCTCACCCCACCCCGAGGTGGATTTAGTAATCAACAGTGCTAAAGAATTAGGATGAAGGTGTTAATTACTTGGGTAGAAGGGATTCTGGAGTAATTCCAGAAATAATTTTTTTTTTTTTTCTCTTAATAATTGTTTCTGGGGTTGAGTTATTAGTTAATTACATGTAATAATTCCAAAGTGATTAAGAGACGGATTTGTTAAAGTAAAGTTTGTGATAAATGGCAAATTGGATTTTTGGGTAGTCTGAATAGCGGAATTCAACCAGACAGGATAAGTGGTTTTGGCAAAATTTAAGTATACGTTGTCTGCGGAAGATCTAGCAGGAGGTCCGAATCCGATTTTAGTACCTTTTGAAAACTGGTTGCCCGCGGAGATCCGGAGATTAGGCGGAAACACATGGTGGTCCAGGCAATTTGCATATTAAAATTCGAGGCAGTGCCTAAAGATGGTTTAGCTCCGCCTCTCTCTATATAAGCTGTCCGCACGCTTGAGTTCGTCAGATGAGTTCGAAGTTCGGAGATCAGAACGCGGAAGAGGCGGCTTGTTGGAATTATGCTGGTCTGGTCTGTTGGTTGCCCTGTGTCAAGAAGACCAATCCGAGCCAAGAGATCGAAATAGAACCCGTACGAATCCAGATAACTTCGTCAACAAGGCTGCGAGAAGGCAGACTGCTATATTGTAGGGTGCAGACGAAGATTCACGAATTACTTCCCTTAGATCAGCCGAAATTGTTTAGGCAGAAATTTTCCTACTTTCTCTCTGTGACTTTCAGACCCAAACCAGTGAATTTCGTTACGACATTTTGTACTCGTGTAAATTCTTCGGTAGAGACATAAAAAAAAAAGTGGCCTAAATAGGGCCCTTTGTACAGGAACAGGACTTGCTTATTTTTTTTCTTTTTCATGTGTTTGCGGCTACGACAAGAAACTTTTGCTGCATGAATAGTGATTTCCTTTCAGCAAAATACCCAGCCATTTCCTTCCCTTCCCACCAGATCGTTCTGGGGAGATCGATACACTGCTGTTTGGATCAAGAATTCACAACGTGGCGAATAGTGGTGGTTCCTTCAGTTCACCGGAGGAAGATCGGGTGGATTTCTTTTTCAGCTAGAACCACCGGGGAGACAGAACAGAACTGCAACAGGCAGGGTTATTACGTCAGACTTTTTGTATGTGTACAAAAAACATGTTCACTACTTACAAAAAAATATAAATGAAGGACTTTGACATTTTGAATATCTTTACTGGGCACGAAACACCTGGTAAGTAATCCACAAATGAAGGTGTTGCTGTGATGATTGCTAACAAAAAACTGACGCCAATGTAGGCTATGTAGCTGGGCTGGGGAACCCCCATCCAGGACAGATGAGTTCACTTACAACAGCTGCACATCACCTAGGATTCCTCCCAGTGCTTTCTGAAATTTTTCATTTGTGGTATGTCAGCACCTGAAAAACTTTCAAATTCTGAAATTTCGAATAAAGGATACTCAACCTATATAAAGAACAACTGAGTTACATAATAAAACCTCACATAGTTACTGTAAAAATTGTAAGCTGAAATCAACATAGTATATTTATCATCCAAATATATCTTGAAAATGTTATCAGGTTCAGTTAATAACAATTTTATTATAAATACAGTAACTTGTATAATAAAATCTTAGTGTATTTCAGTTTTTTTTAGCAAATATGAATCTATATTGAGTTTAAAAAAAAGTAAAAGGTAGCCAAATATGTATATATTTAAAATTTAATTCATTGTACAATTATTAAAATAATGCTTAATGACATTAAAAACAAATTAATTGAAAATGTTTATTAGACAATTTTATCATGTGAAGAGGCAAAGAACTGAAAAGTAATTTATATAGAAGCAAATCTTTTGCAAGACTGAAGCAATTAATCTGTGCTTCCTTGTTCCAAAATTTACTTCTTAATGAAACAATTGTTATGAAAATACATAGAAACTAATGAGAAAAAGCAGTATATTTCTTTTAAATATTTGCAGTATACATTAAAGAGAAATGTACTAATAGTATAGAGACACTACTGATTATTCACCAATTGATGATGCAGCACCTTTTCTAATTCAGACAAAATGACAAACATTTGAATTTGACACAACTGCCAGATTAATTGAATGAACGGCCACATATTTCATATTTAATAATAATTTCATTGATCGATTGATTTTCTACGGCTTATCAAAACATTACAGGTTATTTAAAGCCAGAAATACTTTCAAATTGTAAGAATTTTTTTTTTTTTTTGGAGATAATAATGGTTTAGTGATACAAGTCTTACCAAGCCATAGCTAGGGGGAGAAGAGGTGGATTTATACCTTTTCCCCAAAGGTATGTTGCGCATAAATAAATATAATGAAACCAATGAAAATTAGAACTTGGTTCTCTAACATTTCTGAGCTGTTACCCATTATATCATCCACACATCCAAGCTTACAGCACCTGGTATTCCCTATAACCCAGTTAGGTACTGACCAAGCTTGATATTGTATAACTTTGGTGTTTGTACAGGAACCAATGTTTCATGATGTGGTTGTAAGCCTTAATAATAGTTTAATACAAGTTTCTAACAGTTGATGATGCTGTAGAGATATGAGAGATGAATAATTAGAGTTGAATTGTTATCATGATTCCTGTTGGTCTGGCAAAACAGATAATTTGGTAGTTCAAGATCCAAGGAAGCTGGAAAATTGGTGATTTACCTGTATTATACGTATCATTTTAAGGTGTTTAGCTGTGCTGCTCTTCCTAAATATATCATAAATGTGAGCAGATTTTACATCTAAGAATCATTTTATTTTAAAGCAATTAATAAAAATTTAGTAAAGTATTTAGCTTTAGAAATTTTTTTCCCTTCCATTTTTGCTTTTCGATACATCAACCTCTATGGGTTATTTAGTGACAAAATATAAATATTTTGTATGCAAAAATCTTTCATTTTGAGATAATAATGGTTTTAGTGATACAAGTCTTACTAATTAACACATATCTGGGGGATAAGAGGTGGATTCATACCTTTCCCAAGAGTATTTGTGCGTAAGTGAATGTAATGAACCCAACTGGAATTGGATCTTGGCTCTCCAATTAACAATTCCATTACTTCAAGCTTACAGCACCTGGTATTTAGAAATACCAAGGTGCTGTAATCCAAGTTTACAGCACCTGGTATTTAGAAATATTTCATATGCTATTTGCTAACAACTGATATAAGATTGCCACCATTTAATCAGGCCAAGCTATGCAGGTTAATGTATCTTTTACTAAAAATGGTATTTTTCTCATGTTTCAAATTTAACATTAAACAATAGAATTTTTTTTTTTTTTCTGATGAGAAATAAGAATTTCTTCTTTTATACAAGGACATAATAAGATGTGAACATTTGCCCCTCTATTCTGTCCCATAATAGTTGTTACATTTTGGGTAAGAAAATATAATGACTATTATGTTATAGTCATACCATTTGCAAGACAAGGATGTCAAATATTCAACATAGTAGTCAACATTTGTAGAAAAAAAAATGTCAGCCCATTACAGTGCTATTTATTAAAAGATTTATTTTTTAATCTTTTTAATTTTATAGAAAGCCTCATAAGAACTTGTACCTTTTTACTGTTTTTTTACATGAATAAAAATTACTATTTTTTTTTTATTACAATTTTTTTCAGAAAGTCATTTAAATATGATTTTCTTTTATGTAAAATGGTGTAGAGTAATTGTCCATGTTTGCAATAAACAATAGCAAGAGAAAGAAAAGAGAAGAACAAGGAAAAAATAATAATGAGCAAACAATATATGCAAGGCAAAACAACAGCAATAAGGCAAAAGATTCACAAACTAAGAATGGTGTTAACACAAATGGGGATACAGAAAAGTAATTGCAGTGTTCTGACTTCAAGACAAGAATGAACAGACTTAAATCTGATGAGATTGAGAAGTGACCTATATTAGGGGCTAGGAAAAAAACAGTGTTTTGTCTTATAAATTTGGGTAGGGGGAAATTTTTACAATAATTCCTATGCAATTGGAACCAAGAGATGGCTTTATGTACAATGTCTTTGTTTTCACAAGGGATTGATAAATATCAATTTCTAAAATAAAGTTGCAAAATAGAAACAATTATCTGATTCATGTTTTGCTTTATCATGTGTTCATATTATGTCCCAAGCATTGCTCATTTATCTGAAAATAAAACTTTCTTTGGATTTTGAAACATAATCTACAGAAGTCAATAAAAAAGGGGTTTACAAAGCAAAATTCCATTTCATATATCAATGGATGGGTGGGGAGAAAAAAGAAAAAAAGACAAAGCCATTTTCTGTGTTTAGCTTTAGTGTTTGATCTAGCTTTATTGATATCACAATGATGTACATGGTGGAGAAAAACTAGAGTAACGTTTTGACTAACAAACACAATAACCAATGTTCCTTTTGAGATAGAAATGGATGCATAATTAAATTTTTCTGACTGATCTAGGTAGCTGCCTATGCAATGTTTGTATAACACCGTAACTTATGCACTGAGTCTGGAATTAAAAGGGTAAATTGTAACCCATCTTAACAAGAAACTTTACGGTGATTATCTCCAATACTGTTGATGGAGGTATGTTTTTTTTAAACTTTTCTCCTTAATAAAACTATTTATTTTCCTAAGGGTTAACTTTGTTGCTGATGTTTATGATGTTGTTGTTGTTGTTGTCTAACTTCAAACATCCGGTTAAGTGCACTGCCAGCTTGGAACCAAGCTATCTGGCCCTCATTGAATGTATGGTTGAGATTAAATTTGTCAACAGAACCATCTACATGTTTCACTTCACATATAAGGGGCTGAAAACAAAAAAGAATTACTGAGAAATTGAAAATTGCAAACAGGTAAGAAACAACATTAAAATCAGCAGAGTAAAAGACATTCAAATATGACGTGGAAATTTAATTTTTTAATTTTATAAGCTGAAAATGTAATAACAAATAACATACATTTGTCTATATCAATGTTTATATGTGAAAAGTTTATTTATTTTTCAATGGCTATATATTGGTTTTAGCAATAGTTGTTACTGTGGATTACAGCTACCCATATTTCTTAAGGTAAACACTTTTGCATAAGCCGGGAGAGATAATCATAAGGGCAACAAAATGTTTTGATTTAATTTTCATTATTTTTTAAAAGTTTTATGTAAATTTAATAAAACAAATGAAAGGCAAAAAATTACATCAAAAATTATATGCAAAACAAATATTCATATTATTAAATGTGTTTTTAGACAAGATATCTTAAAAATATTACTCAAGAATTTAGATGAAAAGTTTGAAATTTAAATCTAGATTTATAAACTCCTCCATGACTATTTTAGAACCTCTCTAACTCTACATCTTAATGTCTACTTCTTTACATCAATCAAACATCTCCACAATTTATAATTCATCTTTATCTTAATACCATTATGTATTTTCTTCAATATTCTCAAATCTCAACTTGGTATCTATGCTGATGGCAACCATTTATTCCTAAGTCTGATTGGTTTGTTAAGGTTAAATTGACAGCTGATCTAAAAAAAAAAAAATCTACATTTTGTTATTAACTTGGGCAAGGAATGGCTTGTTAAATTTTAACACTGCCAAAACAAAACTGCTCTCTTTTAATCATTTGAGAGAGCTCTTTTTACCTTCCATCAGCATAGCTGATGCTAACCTCCAGGAGTCATTGCACCATTTCAAACTAATATTTTCCACTCGCATGAAATAGAAAGATTATATTGAATCAATTGTTATGTCTACTGTTAGGAAAGTTGGTTCCCTGTGTCATGCTAGACAATTTTTCTTGACAGATTTTATCTTACATATTTATAAGTACCATTTGTCCTTGCTGCCACATCTGGTCTGGTGGTCCAGATATATATTTAGAGATACTTGATAAAATTTGGTCCGGACCTGGCATCTTGGCTTCACTCACTTTCCCACTGCCATAACACTCCTTGTGCCTTTTCTAGAAATACTTTCATAATTATTTTGATGAACATTCTGCTATGGTACCTAGACTTCATGAATTTAAGCACAGTACTAGATTGGCTGCATTTTACTGTTGAAATGGATAGGTTTAACCATAAGTTCTAACAGTTTCTTCAATCATACTTCTTGCTTGTGGAATTCTCTTCTGACTTGCTTCCCAGTCAACTTAAATCTTCAAAAATTTAAATACCATGTCAATAGTTATCTTCTGTCTTCTTAATTCTTGTTCTTTTATTGTTTTCTCCCCTTGATAGTATTTTTTTCTCATATTCTCTAACATAACCTCTTGTTTCTTAGTGGTTTTATTGCCTTGTTCAGGGTGAAATGATTTAAAGAAAAAAAAAAAGAAAAAAAAAAGTTGTAATGGTTTAAAAAGTTTATTGCCTATCAATTAATTTTCTGCTCAAAACACATCAATTATTTTCAGATAACTTGTGGAGTTCAGAAAATGCAATTTTTATTTGACAGGCATTTATAAAGATGTTTAACACACTTAAAGATTCTGCCTATCTGAATGTCTTATTTCACATTACGCACTAAAATATTTGCCAAGTAAACTAAAAAGCTTACAGTTTCTATTTTTTTTAAATTTATGAATAACCTTCAATAGAAAGGAACCAACGTTAATTTTACCTTATATTGATCTTTCAAAGTAATTATTTTAGTAAGTAGAGAAAAAGAAATGCAGACATTTAGTGTTTTTACCTTTCCAGGAGCAAAAGTACCGAGTCCAAGAATTGAGATTTTGTCAGTTGATTTGATTTTATCATAATCAGCAGGATCAACAAAAGTCAATGGCAGCATACCTTGCTTTTTCAGATTAGTTTCTGAAAAGGGAGGAAAAAAAAAACATGAGAGAAAAGACTAAAGTTTAACCTTAATTTTTAATCTGGAAATATTTTTTATTATTATAAATTTTTATGGACACAAAATGTGTTTATGAGTTGGAAATAAAATTTCTTTGTTATGCAATTTCTGAACAAATATTAGTTGTGATTTATGAGTGAGAATAAAAAAATAATGCTCATCCAACAATTTCTTTGCTGTTTCTTAAAACACATATTTCTGCAATGTTCTTCAGTGATTAGGTTTTATAAATTCATGTAATAAATATGAACAAGGAAAAATAAAACATGTATGATAAGCTGATGGCTGTTAAGAAGATCACATTTCTCGAGAATTTAGAATGAACTTAACCTTTAGCACGCTGAATTATTAATATTATTTCCCTTTCCACTGCATTGTTTTTCAAGGCCTCTCAATTGCAGTATCCTTATTGTTAGTGGCTTTCTATTGTCATAGCAGGATATGACAACACAGCTATGAAATTCAAACATACTATTGTTCAGGGATCAGAGTCACCTTCAGTGGCAAGATAAACTTTTTATACAGCAAATGAAGTCACATACAGTGTGATAAAGGTTAATATTCTATATATAAGCACAATGTGTTAATGATCAGTGGCATCAGAAATAAGAACATAAACTTACCGTGAATACGAGCAAAGCTCTTGACAATGATGGCTCTTCCTCCAAGGTGACGTGGCTCCAATGCAGCATGTTCTCGGCTGCTGCCCTCTCCATAGTTGTCATCTCCAATTACAACCCACTGTACCTTATGAGCCTAAAAAAAAAGAAATTCTGTGTAAACTCTTTTTTTTTCACATAAAATTTATTATCTTCAATTAAGATAGAGTAGAAAATTAAACATCTAAAAGTTATTACAGCTTTAATTGAATAAAAAAGATTTTCTACTGGAAGAAAATAAATCCCACAAATGGAAAAAAAAAACTAAGGACTTGGGATTCAAGTTACGCGAGAAATAAATTTATGACATTTTTACAATAAATATTTGTCAATCTTCAAATGTAAAAGGCTCTTAATTGTTGGTATTAACATTGTTTTTGATGATGTGAAATGACACTAATTTAAAATTCACTATAGAAGTTAACATGTGAGAGGGTTCTGAAAAGTTCTCAGTTCAACCCACTTACCAGAATCAATATTTCAATGACTAAGCATCAGAATTCTGATTTTAGAAAGTAGATTGGTCCAGGAACTTTTCAGCAACCCTTGTGATATTCAATGATCTTTGTTTTTATATATGATAGTCCCCAAACTATCAATGATATTTCACCTTTCCTAAGCTTCATGGCAGAGTACTGGAATTACTTTCAGTTCACAGTAATATCTTCTAGACGCATCTCCTCTAATAAACATGGTCCTCCACTATTTCTACATAAAGAAATGTTTTCTTTATTATTAAACTTGTAGCAAACTGATACTGTTCTGTCATATTGTATCTTTTTTAACAGTAGATAATACAATTTACCTTGGATGATTCATATTGACACAGGCCATTTTTGAATTACATTTAAAAACTTTGTTTAGCAGCATATCAACCTCTATGGTTTATTTTATGGTGTCATCTACCGATAAAATTTATTGCTGGCTATTTTGCTGTAAAATATTATTGTTGGTAATTTTTTTATATAAAAATGTATTGCTGGTATTTTTATACTTTCATAATTTTGTTTTTGTTTGGACGGGGGGGGGGTATCACTTTTGCCCATACCTGGGACCCTAACAGGTCCTACAATCCTGGGTCAGGGTGGACTTCGGAACAACAGCAATTAAGAGCTACGAGTAGGCCTGGGTACCCTACTTCTGTAATTTATCCCAAGAATCTTCTTCTCATAACAGGAAGAAGCCGGCTCAATCTGCCCAGGGTGAATGCTGCATCAGTACAGTACAGTAATTAAGAGCTGGTCCCATGCTCCTCAAAAGCTCCAATCTACCGACCAGAAGCCTTGCTGCTGGATGTAGTTTATTGCCATACCCAGGACTATTAAAAACTATACAAGAATAATTAAAGTATCTAATATCTCAGCAGACACTGAAAAAGTATAAAATGTAGCTAATATGTTCTTTTGTCTAATTAGAAACACAATCATAAAAAAAAAAAAAAACTTACAGTAAGATTTATTTAAATTTATATAAATCCTAGGAATTTGTTTAAGTAAATTTACCTTGTAGTGTCTTGCTGTATCAGGGACTGCTCCAAATTCACCAGTAAGTTGGTTCTTTACGTTGTTAAGCTGATCATTATCATAGTTTACAGCACTGAAACAGTAAAAAATATTCTTAGGAATTCTTTCAAGACATCAAACAAAGTAAGGAAACATGGAAATAACTTTTTTTTAACTTATTCTTTATAAGTTGAATACAAAGTAGTAAACAGTAACATAATGTTCAGATAGGAAAATATTGTCTAATTTTATAGTTTATTTAGATTGGGTGAGTGTATACATATTAGAATGTTAAAAAGCTCCATAGAAAATGGTAATCTATAGAGAGAATACATAATTCATTAAGGACTTAGTGGAGATAAAATTAATATACAGTATGCAAGTATAAAATGGTAACATCAATATCTGTAAAAGTCCTCTAGTCTGATCTCCATTTGTCAACCTTCTTTTAATTAAAATGTTTTTATGCACATTTACTATTCTCATTTCAATCTATGGTGCTTAGGAGACATGACAGGTACTTAACAGGTGGTACAAAAGGGCTTTAAGCTAATACTGTATAATTTAAATTTTAACATCTAATAATCAGATCAAACATAACCTGTCTCTGAAACCATATATATATATATATATATATATATATATATATATATATGTGTATGTTCGTTCCAAGAAAAACTTGATGAATATTCATAAGTGGATGTCTAAAGTGATTACACTTTGGGATTTACACTTTTATTTTTTATGGACTGGATTTTCATTCAAACTGAAGTGGTGTCAACTAAATATTGCCTACTTTTAATAAAGAAGGATCCAAATGAAAATAGAGAAAATAAATTTATTTATTTATAAACTGTAATTTGTCAACGACAAGAAACAAAACATCAGTGGAAGACAGTCCCAGAATATTGAGCTTTTACGTAAATACAGTTTGTTGGCCTTTGTGTATTGCAATCCTTAGTATACCAAAATACTATAGTGAAATTCATGTTTGCTTTATGAAACTATTATAAAGTATGATTTTAAAGCTCTGGAGCTAATGCAGCCATTATATAAATAAAAAAAATTAGTGATACTGCTAGACTCTTCTGTACTTAGGCTCAGTTGGAGTAACTGAACTGTCAAGTCTGTTTCAAACCAATAAGCAATGTCTCAGCAGAACAGAATGCTCATTTATAATGATATAATAAATGAACTATAAAGAATAAAAATACAGATTGATTCACTATTTTTCAAAGAATATAGCTTAGTTATAACTTCATAACTTTAAATGCTAATAACTTTACTGTTCATAATCATAACAATGTTATATGAACAAAAGTTGTTGAGGTTGGCTTGGACAAATTCAATTCAGTTTAGTGAAACTAACAATCAAGCTTTCATTCATCTTAATAACACGAGTTAAATTTCTGCCCAGACTATTATGAATAATCTTTAAAATGTCTAATGGTTTTCATTTACTATTTTTCAAGATATATAGCTCTGTTATATTATAACTTAAAATCTTAACTTAAATACATGTTGCACTTCATAACATTGAATTTAGCTTAACCTATTGAAATATACAAACTATATACAAAGTCTGAATAGTAAACACTATTTAGTAAATAGCTGTAAATGTAAACAACTGTTTCCTGTTTTCATTCTTCATTTAGTCAAACAGTTACAGTTTTGTTTGAATAAGAAATGTGCAATACTTTTAGCATTATCAACTCTAATGTAAAAAAATAGATTTCATGTATAAAAAGTAACAATGTCATAAATTATGATTTTAATAACATATACTTCATTAAAATGTTATTTATTTCTTTTCAAAATTATTTCTAAGATAAATTAAATGAATTAAAATATTACTTTTATTTTGGTGCTACTATAGTATGATATCTACTGAGGCATTTGCGACCTACCATAAATGAAAATGCATTCATTATTGCTGGATAATGCTCAAGAAAAACAATGACCTGTTTACTTTTTCAAAATGACATCAAATCAGTTTACAAACATTAAATCACTATTTGATGATTTTTTAATTTTTTTTTGTATAAAAAAATTGACTTTTTAATACATAACCAGTTTACTGTTCACTGCCTTTAACCCTAATTCCTAACCCTAAAATATTTCATACTTCCAAAAGTTGGTAAATATCATACCATAATAGAAAATGAATAGTAGATATCTTACTATAGTAGAAAATGAACAGCAGATATCATACTATAGTAGAAAATGGATGATTGGAAATGGCCTACTGCATGTTCACAAGTCAAAGGAGATGAAAAACAAATGTCACATTAAAAAATGAGAACATAAACCCTGTTTCCAATATTATATGTAAATATTTTATTCAGGGCTTTGCCTGCTCACCTGGATGGTTAGGTAAGTAACACTTGGGACAACTTCTGCTGTTGATCTCATAGATCGGATCTTCCACCTACCAGTTCCTCACTCATCTACACTTCTTGGATGTGTAGCTGGCAATATGAATGTGGCATGGAACTATTTGAGGACAGTCTGTTTCGCTGCCAAAGGCAGACTTGAACTGACTCCCTTGATCCCAAGCAGGAGTGTTAATATAGACCAGCAATTAGAACAATTTTTTTTTTTTTTTGCTTGATTTCAACTGCTTTCCTCTACCTACTTATTCTCTTCTTCCTCTTCAGTCAAGTGGGTGCCAATTCAAAAATCCTATCTGCTGATTGTGAAACAGAAACACTTGAGATAAGATTACACCCTCTATGTGGGTGTCCTAATCATAGTGCCACACAAGTATAAATATAAAGGGAATGTAATAAAAGAAAAATTTACATGTAAACAATGGAAGACATTAAAGCATCAAGTGAGAAAACTCAAAGCAATATGCCTTAAAAATATGTTTATGACAGACCTGTAAGAAACTGACAGAATGTACTAACAGTTAAATAGAAGAAAAAGTGAAAGTGCACTATAGAGAAGCAATCATGAACATGCATTCAGGCAGGTTGATTTTGAAACCGCCATATTGCACTCAATTTGAAAGTTAGGGTTTCACATGATAAATAATAACAGAAAATGTTTTTTTTCAAATTGTTATCATTTTTGAGGAAACAAGTTTAAAGATTAAGATTAGGTTCAAACTTAGAAGGTTTAAATTTCATTCCAATGATCAGTGAAAAATTTAACAGTACCTCTATACTCCTATGCAAAACAAATATGTAAATGTCAGAGTGTTAAAGCCTTTCCTCAAAAACGCATACAAGCTCAAAGACATAACCAGCAAACAGTCTGGATCTTCATCTGATTGGAATTTTTTTTTCAAAAATGGTTCATGACAAGTCTTCATCCTGCAAACTTGATCTGTCAAGCACTATCAGAGAAAGTTGGTGCTAACATGGAGAATAAAAGAATTCAAGCCATCAAAAAAGCCCAAGGAAGAGTAGGAAAATATTAATTGTGATATTTTTTTTTTTTTATTTTGGTTTATGTTTCTGTATTTCCTGTTATTCTCTAATTTTTCATTTTATCTGTAAAAGTATCGCATTAGTTAAAATAATTGCATCTAATTTGAAGTTTGTTTCACAAAGCCAATGTTCAATTATTAAACAATAAATTGTTTTGTATCACATTTGTAATTTGTTTATTTGCTATAAAGTAAAAAAAAAAACTGGATCAACATTGGCTAAGTGTGATGATGTTATAGTTATTGCCAGAGTTTGTACCAATATAAACTAAAAGAAACATTCACACAAATTTTCATAATACTTACCCAATTAGCAAATTGTTGGATATGTTGTCAAGATGACCTCGGAACTTCAGCCATTTTCCAGCTGCACTGATGTGATCTGTGGTGCATTTTCCTTTGGCCTAAAATTAAAATTTTTTGTTTCATTTGAAAATCTAAGTTTTATTTCTACTTAGCCTCATCTTAAAAAAAAAATTTAAAAAATTGAATATTTAAAATTCTTAAATTAAGAGTAACATTTGTTTTTTTTTTGTTTTTTTTACTATATATTTGCTGAGCTTAGCCTAGTATGGCACAAAGTTACAATATTAAGAAGACCCAATAAAGATCATACTTGGTATTTCCCAAATTGTAATTGGCACTGTTAAAGAAAGTAACTCCTTGGGTAATAAAACAAAAATAAAAGGTTTTGAAAAACTTAATAGCAAACAATAAAAGCTTAGTACAAACCAAGGTTACACAGATGAGAGTATATATTGAATGATGACAGAAGTAAAGAATTAAATAACTTAGTGAGGTTACCTACTTAATATATAACATTTTAAAGTTTAGTTTGGCACACAGCTACAAATCTGAACCACTCAGTGAGAATCAAACACATTATGCAATAATAATCTGCAAAACCAGGATGTTTGTTTTTAAGTATTATTTTGAAATAATGTTATTCCTTACTTGTTATAAAAAATTTTAACATTATTTAATATCTCTTGGTTTAATCTTAGTTAAAGCAATATAGAAGAGGACTAGGCATGGAACAAAAAGAAAGATATCTCTTTACTTAGGAAAAACTAGATTGGCATAAAAAAAAAAAAAACGCAACTTGATAATTTCCTCTCTGAAAAAACTGTCATTTTTAATTCTCTGGTAATGTAGACACCAAAGAAACATTACAAAATATGTTATGAAAATCATAAAATATTGAATGCAAAATGTACTGAAAAAAAATTGTGAATTTATTGTGTTTGAGTTTTGTAATGTGTAATTTAAATTCTAAGTTGTAAAGGTTAGTTTTACAGAGTGTATTTTGATAGTGTACTCATTTCAAGAACAGTAACAAGTAAAAACTACTTTATACATTTATTCAAATAACCACACAGAAGCAGCATGTGCACAAAGGTTTTATGTTTCTTAAAAACATTTGAAGATGACTCAAGGCACAGTTGATGATGTAGCTTTCAACAGAATAGCCACATTCAAACTCTGCTGAAATGTGTTAACCATTTGTAACTGATTGATGAAATAGCATGAGAGAAATTTTTTTCAGTTTTTAGAAGGAAATGTAAACAGGGTTTAAAAGAAATACCAAAATATTGTAAGAAAATATTTTATAATAGAATACAAAAGAAACAAATTAGGTAAATGGTGTTAGAAGAAAAAAAACCTACTTTGATCAGTACAACCATGTCTGTGAGATCTTTTCCATCCCATTTTTCAAAAGGAGTGAGTAGCTGGAGGCGTAAACTCTTAGGATCGACATTAACTGTCAATGCAGTCCCATCAGCAGGAGGGGCCTGATAAGTGTCTTGGCCAGGGTCAAAACCTTTTGAAGGAAGTTCATCTCCACTTGGAGGTACCAACTTGAATTTCTCACCTAAAGTTAAAAATGGTTCAAGTATTAAACAATTTAAATGACCAAATGAAATATTCTTGACCTGGTCAAGAAGAAATAAAAAAATCTGACAGGGCAAAAAATCCTTAAGTAATATAATAATTTTTTTTTTTGTTTTATGTCTAAAACATAAAAAAAAAATTTATTGTCACACTTTGGGGTTGACACTAAAATAATGGATAGTGAAGAGAACAGTGTAGAACATAAAAATAAAATAAATGATGATTAATAAATATATTCATTATATTCTGTGTGTATGTAATGTATATACATATGTTTGTGCTGCATTTAAGTGACTTACATATGCTTGTGCAATTTAGTGTACACATAAGTAGGTGCATGCATACATACACGCACAATCTAACAGAGTTCGAAATAAGACATTGGAATAATACATTGCCTTCCCACTCAGTCTTGACAACTGCTACCCTGGGGTCAGCAATGAAATCATAAATTGAAGATAAAGTTTCAAACCATAAAATATCATATAAATGATTTCATTGAACTTTACAGAAATTATTTGGTAATAAGTAAAATTATTTTTGAAGCTTTTCTCCCAAAATTTTGTAGAAATACTTTTAGGTCTATCATTGAAATAAAATATGTCTGCACATACATGAATGTACATACACACAATCTGAATGAAATTGAAATGGATATCAGTGTTGTAAGGGCTAATTTTCCTTTCTGTCTGGAAACAACACCTGGATAACAGGAAAAGAGTATAAGCCAGCTCTTTGAAGTCATCTTTATAACTCCTGTATGTAAGTTAAATATTTTCTAATAAATGTAGAATTTTTAAATGGACAAACAATTTTGATTTTAAATTTGATCATCTTGTTATCAGGAAAGCAACAGATGCAGAACTAGTATATTTTAATACAAAACTGCAAAAAATTTCAATTCTAACTGACTGTTGTTCCAACATAATCTTAAAAAAAAAAAAAAAAAAAAAAGTCATTTAACCCTTTGAACAATAACCTAATTCTCCCTTTACCATGTCCCTGGGCCTCCTGAGCTCACAGTAATCATTATTAGTATTATTATTACCACTGAATACTGACTTGAAGATACTCTCAAGGGAGTTGCATATTGAGCCTCTTTAACCAATGAATCATCAAGTAAATCCAATACCAGCTGAGTTCTCATTTACACATGCTTTAATCTTTTCATCCAAGAAAAGCTGAGCTGCTCATTTCATTTACCACAAATAAGATAGTCTGCATCAATCTACTAATGAACAATGGTGTAGCAAGCCAATGCATCAGTGAAGGGAATGCATAACATTAAGAAGAATTTTAATATCTAAAAAATTATCACAAATTTAAGCAAAAACTCCAGTAAACTAGAATTGAGTAATTCTGAAAATGAATAAGTCCAGAGATGATAGAAATTTAGATCTTGACTTTGAAATTGTGGTTATTGGCAAATGGTGAAACCAAATGTGTAAAATAAATAAATAAAATATATGACATTGATAAAACAACCTATCAGCTCTGGAAAAAAGAACAAACAAAAATTTCTAAAAAAAAAAAAAAAAAAAAAGCATATTAAAAATATTCATTAATTCTAAATTAATGAATATTTTACTAAAAGATGTACATAAAAAGTCATTATCAACAGAAACATTAAGTTAATGAAGATACTAGGTCCAAATATTTGCTTAGTAATAGTTATTTTAATTTTTAATATGAAAACATTAGATACTGAGTATTTATTATTAATCCAAAAAAATTGTACAAAAAGGAAAAAGACCTGAATATATTGCAAGATACAAAAAGTCTAAGTATACCATTAGCTCCTGTCAATTCATCTGTGATAGGATTAAAGTCAAGTGTGCCAGCAATCGCTAATGCAGTCACAAGTTCAGGAGAAGCAACAAATGCATGAGTTGCTGGGTTGGCATCATTACGCCCAGTGAAGTTTCTGTTGTAGGAAGTGACAATGGTGTTTTTTTCTCCTTTCTTAATGTCTTGCCTATCCCATTGACCAATGCAAGGACCACAGGCATTGGCAAGGACAAGTCCATTAATGGCACTCAGAATTTCAGTCTAAGGGAAATAAAGAAAAAAGAGAGATTGAGAAGCATAATTGATACAAAGGTTAAAAATGAAACATTTAAAAGTTTGTTTATCAAATCTATGCTGATTGAAGCCCATGAATTCAGTTTTAGAGGCATTGACAGACTTCAACATTATTGGCAGCATTTTCTAGATGATGTAGGAGAATGGTGGCATTGGTAATGGTGTCTAGTGATAGCTAGGTCATATGCATAGTCAATATCAGTCAACATTTTTGCAGGATGTCAACTGAGTTTTGGTGATAAAGTAAAACCTGTCAAATCTTTTACATAGCTATGAAGTGAGATAAATTCTACTGAAAAGATATGAAAATTCACACAGCTAAAGTCTGGGCCATATTTATTAAAATGGATGTAATGTGGAAATCTGATCTACTGACAACTTCAAGCAGAAATTCTTTTGAGCAGTCAGTAAAGGTGGTGTTAATGTATGGTGCCTCTGCCTAGACATTAACTAAAAATCTATGCAGGATAGAACCTATACTCAGATGCTGAGAGCTATAGTTAACAGCTCTTGGAGGCAATATCCAACTAAATAACAGCTTTATAGACCTATCCCTGATATTTCTACAATCTTATGCGAATACAGAATGTGCTGGCAAGCAAAACAAGAACTTGTGAGTGATCTACTGCTCTGGACACCTTGCCATGGAGCAAGACAAGCTGGTCACCCAGCAACCACCTACATTGACCAGATATGTTATGACACAGGATCTTGCTAATGATCTGACCTTGACACAGGACTGTGATGTTTGGCATGATAGACTCTTGATTGTCCAAGCTAACTCGACCAAATAAAACAACAATAATATATATTTGGTACTTTTAAAAGAACAATTTAATATTAGAAAAATCAAATTTTTTAGATAAAGCTGAATAAAAGTTATATTCATTTGAAAAATAAATGCAAAAATTAAAGCATAAGTGGTTTTGAATCCAAATTCAGTCACATTAATTGTGGCAGGGGGCAATATCACCTCAAAATAATAATATTGAAAAAAAAAAAAAAAAAAAAAAAAAAAAAGATAAAAAAAAAGGGATATTGTGAAACAGAAAACACCAAGTGAAGAGAGGTGTTTTTGAATAACCAAGATGTTGATATGCTGTAAAAACTTTGAAATGTTAATGTTACAGCTTTTATTTAGAAAACGAAATACAATTTTTTTTTTAAAGCGTACAAAAGATATCAGATTAATAATAGAAGGTAGAATTAAGAATGTCATGATCTAAAGGTTAATTTTATCGATAACAAGACAGCATTAATCTATGTAAAGTTTACCAAAATTGCTCAGAGCTATTAATAAACTTAGAACAATGGCAATACAGTCAGGGTACTGAAAGATGAAGTGAGTGTGAAGTTTTAATTTAGAAGTGTGTCGGGAAATGGGTCAATCCCATTCCTAATAAAAGTATGTCAGTACGTTTGCTCTAGAAAAAACAAATACGTCACCAGTTCTCTATATAAAGAGACAAGCCAACCGGGCAAGCAGAGCAGAGTTGGGTTAGAGACAGTGAGGAAGTAACATCAGAGATTGGAACAAAATGCCCGCTAACATGTGCTGTTGATATAAGTACTGCTGCTCCTGCTACTACTAATATTACTACTATTGAGGATGGGAACATCAACGATTGTAGTAGTTGCATTAAGAACAGACCACAAAGGGTTAAAACAAAGCCACCTCTCTCCTTTAACGAAATTACAAAAAGTATTTTCTTTTGTTGATCATCGTTCATATACAAGAGACATTCAACTTTTTGCCATGAGAATTGTATTATTATATGTATTGTTAATGTTTAACTTTTGTCCCTCTAAAATCGGATTAACTTGGCCATATTTATTTGCTGTTAACCAGATTCTCACCCAAGAAGACCAACAGAGAGCTTTCGGAATTCTACAACCTAACTACTCGCAAGGATCAAAAATTACAATGTGGCTGGTGAGTGGAATCAAATCGACATTTGAAAGCAGAGACTTAGGTCTAACCTGTAATACTGGACCATGGACCATACAGGACCAACGTCTGGTTTTGTGGATGACGTCGGCCCAGTGGGGTTAGGATACAGTGTCACATGGATGCCTTGGCCAGAAATTGCATTACAACTGACACCATGCGAGAGGATCGGCATTACAAATCATTTTAACAGAAAAATGGCAGCTTACTCTTTCACTTGTTGGTAAAAAGAGCAGCTACTATAGTATGAAATTCTTATTTTATTTGGATGGAAATTCTCAGTTTGTGGAGCATTAAATTTATTTAGAAACTGCAAGAACTTTCCTTCCTTTCCAGGTAATAAAAACTATAAAAATAAAACCTTAACTTTGCTCCTGTCATATATAATTTAAAGGATCATTTTTTTTAAAGCTGATTTTAAAAAAAAATTCAGCTGCATTCATTTTAGTTAAGTGAGACCAATTTTTATTCTGTTTGTATAATTTGAATAGTGAAAAAATATACAAAATCAATTAGCATCAGAAAATTCACCAAATGCAATGAAAGGAATGAATAAATATAAAATCATACGAATCCTAAAAATAAATTTGTAAGTACATAAAATTGTAATTTGTTTTAATACTAAATTTTATCTTTTGTGTTAAACAAACTTATTGTAAACTTGACATTAAATCTCTCAATCAGGAAAAAGATTTACATTTTCCACAAAATTAAAAACAATCACCTTTGATTTATGATAAATTCTATTTCACTAATTCAAAATAAATACATAATACATACATAATTTCTACTATCAGAAGTGGTACCAACTCCAGCAAGAAATAAAGTGATAAAAATATTTTGAATTTTACATTATGTTCTGGAGATGAACACAGCTCTCCATAAGAGGACTTGGACTTGTCCAAATACATATAGACTGATGCCAAGAATCATCAGAGGAAGGAGTAAACAAGTAGAAATTATCTTGCTTACTACCTATTTCAGCAAGATTATGTTGACTCCAAGTGACATACTATGTCTTGATAGTGTTACTCAATGCAATGAAGACAGCATAATGTAAGGCCAGTATGAATCACATAAACATTCTAACACATGCATCTGTTAAAAATGTTACTTATTGTGAAGAACTTTACAAAAAATATTAGCGTTTATTAATAAAACTACAGAAAATCAAGACAATTTATATGTATTTTACAAGTAGAACAAAAATATGTATTCACTTACGAGTCCATCTCTTTCAATTGTGGCTCTGATTTGTTCTGAGCCTGGTGTGATAGTAAAAGCTCCTTTACTCTTCAAACCATGATCCAAAGCTTGTTTGGCAATGCTCACAGATCGACACATATCTTCATAGCTACTGTTGGTACAGCTACCAATTAAACCTAGAAAAGAAAGATCATACTATACCAAATGACCATATTGTTAGGAATAAATTTGATTTTGTTCTGAATTATCTGTTCTTTACCACCATATTTTAAAAATTAACTAATTTTTCATTGATTTTTATAACATGATATATACAGGAATAAGAAAAATCACTCTTTAATTTAAAAACTTTTTTTCTTTCAAAAGAATATGGTGAAAAATAGAAAGAAATTAAAACGTGAGTTCCGAATTAGGAATTCTAGAAAGTAATGGCTCCAATAACTACATATTTTAAATGGTTTCCTAAAATACAGTATATACAAATTTAAAATAGTTTCAATAATTTTATATTTAAATATATGAAACATGCCATAAATGTTGATTCTTATAAATATGCAGAAAAAATTCTGAAAGTATACAAGCATCTAAATTTTACTGAATGTAAATTTAATTAGTGTATTTATCTAATGAAATTTACTATGTTTTAATGAACTTGAGAGAACATTTTGTAAAATTAATAAAAAAAAAACTTACCAACTTTAACCTCAAGTGGCCAGTCATTCTTTTTGGCAATTTCTCCCAATTTAGAAATAGGATGAGCATAATCTGGTGTGAAGGGGCCATTAACATGGGGCTCAAGCTGAAAACAATAACAAAATAAAATCAATAATAATAATTCACAATTACCTATTTTCATATTCATGCCCTGAAATGTTTACAGAAATTAATGTAATTTTTTTAATAATAATTATAGTTGCACTTATACACTGATAAACAGATTTGGCCAGTGTTGTAGCAAAGTGATATTTTAAATATTTATATTTGTTGTAGTTGTAAGATTTAACCCAAGTGGTACTGGAAAAGACAGAATTGTAGGAGGTCTGAATATTGCATCATTCCAGACTAAATCCAATTTTTTTCAAGTAAAAATACCATGAACATTACAGATTTTGTCCAAAACTGGTACAATTATAGAGCTTCCTTAATCTTGAGGGAATGACACCTGTCTCATATTTATATTAAGAAATTTGCAGAGATAAGACATTCTGAACCAAAAATAAAATGAATTTTTGAAGGTAAGGACAAAAGTTTAAAAATCAATACTTCTATAGTTTTTACACATTGAAACTTCAATTATAGACTATTTCAAAATACCCAAGTAGATCTAAAACTTATTCTATGCATTTTTTACTTTCTTGCAAGCTCCACCTGTTAGGAGAGATTCTTTTGGCTTGAGCCTAGCAAATTTTGAAAAGCTGATTTTGATATGAGGGTTATTTGATTTAAATAATTGATATGTCTCTTAAGTTACAGAATATGAAACCTTTTTGTTCTTGAACTTATCTACCATGCTTTCAATCTGTCTTGTAGTCATTCTCTTCCAGACATAACTACTTGATTCTCATAAAATCACATCACTTGATCAGTTGTCTCTTGTGGGAATGTGTTTTTTAGTTTATTTGACCGAGTTAAAATTCCTTGTACATTTTCTTGTCAGTAAATGTCTCAATTTATTGTCCCACATTAATACTTAATTACTTTTTTATTATTATTTTTTTTATTCATGCAAATAAGAGAGATAGTAAAAGTAAGAACTATGAAGATAGAAAGTTATACAGAGCCATGGTCTATACTATCTACCAAGAAAACCGACTCCCATTAAATACTACCTGGCTCCAATGGACCCATTTCTATTTTTTTTTTTAAACTTTTCAAACATTTTGCATTTTTTGATGATTTTAGGTATGTATAACAATAGATGGACAAAGAAATAATTTTATTCAAAATTTGTTCACTGAAATAGAAAAATTACTATGCATCTTTGCATTTAGTTTGAAATTATAAACTTAATTCAAATTACATTTTTAAAAAAATTTGAATTCCTTGCTGCATTTTGCACAATACTGTAAAATGGCTTTGACAGACACGTTTTTGGCAAATATCTGCATTTATCTATCCATTTTAGGACCACACAAGGTGTATCTTTTTTTTTTCTTTCTCTGATTGGATGTTCCTTGAGGAGTGTATTGCTCACTAGAGTTTGTAGTTGCATTAATACCTGTGAGATCCAAATTCTTTCAGCATTTGTCCATTTTTGGATTATTTCCAGGAAATTTAGCTTCATGAACAATATAAATGATGAAAGAGCTGAATCACAAAATCTTCTTGCAAAATGTGAAGGTCCAGGCTTTTGATGTAAAACATTGTTGGATGGAGTTCTTCGTTGTGCCCTTTAAATTGGTTTAGAGGATCAAATTTCAGATTTATTCTTTGATAATACTTTCTGTTCATTATTAAAGAATCATTTGTCAGCTTTGTCATCATCATTCATATCATCATCATCTGATTCTGAATAAGTAATGCTGACATTATTGCTTTCATTATCATCTTCAGAAAAAGAAATGGCACTATGATATTTTTATTTAATTAAAAATTTCAACTATGGGTCCAATGGACCCACTTGGCAACCAACTATTTTATTTTTTGTTCTAAATTTATTTCCTTTGTGTAGATGATAGAAAATGAAGAAAAAATTAATCACAAAAAATAATATGGATAGAATAAATATAAGAGTGAAAAACTTAGTTTTGAAAAAAATCTTATGGGTCCATTTGTAGACTGAGGGTTAAAGGGACATAAAAAAAAAAAAAAGATATAATTTAACGAAAATAATCAGTTAAAGGGAAACAAACCGAAAATATAAACTTTTCTCCCCTTTTAATTAATGTAGACTCTTCATTCAGGTTCGTTACATTCACTTATACGCAAATACCCGGGGGGGGGGGGTATGAATCTGTCTCTACGACCCCAGATAGGGGTTAAATAGAAGAACAGACTGGGTTCTATAGCCTTGGTTGGCAACCAGTCGATTGCAGAAAGAAATGGAAACCTACTGCAAGAAAATCTTCTGCCCAGTCAACTTCATGAGTTGAAAAAGACATGATTGGCAAATGTATATCATGTATAGCATTTAACTGATAACTGAGAATCTTAGAGATTACAACCTAGTACATTAAAATCCTTGCAGTCCAAATTCTCAGTCATTCTCCACTATAAAAGTTTCTAGATATCAAAGGCCAGACCAGTTGTAAGATTTAGAAAAGAAAAATGGTTGACAAGTTACTCAAGTACTTTAAAATAGTGTATAATTCAGCATTTACCTTTTGCTAACAGAAATATTGATTTTTGTTTTTAAGTTCTTGTCATTAACTTCAAAATTCCATGTTTTATGCAAAGTGCAGAAAGCCATATCTCTGGAACTCTTTGTGGCAAAAATGTGAGACAAATGACATTCAATTTCTTTCATAAAAATCTATAATTGTGCCAATTTTGAACAAAATCCCTGATGGTCATGGTTTGACTGATGATTTCACATGGAATTTATTCATATTGACTGATTAGCTTTTATAAAAGTATTCGAAGAAAAATTGATTTTAAATCATACTGAAGACTCTTTCATTAAACTCACTGAATAATTTTATGATATAAACACTGGTGAGATAGTTTTAAAACTAAGTATTTTTACAAATAGAAAATATAAGTTTAGCGTGTTGATTTTTTGTTTTCTTGTAGAAATGGGACAATAAATTTTCAATCTAATAGATAGTCATCAATGAATATTTGGCTATTATAAAATACATGATAAGTTTATGGTTAAATATGTATGGGTACAACTCCTCCAAGTTAAAAAAAAAAAAAAAATCCTGAAAAACTTACCTTGTCCAAATCAATTTCAATGATATCATCATACTGTGCACCTTTGTCAGCTGAGAGTATATGTTTGTATGAATCAGCTAAATTTGCAATTTCTATAATGAAGAATATTAAGATTTAGTTTTTAAAAATTAAAATATTTTCTTTTCATTTAATATGCTTATATTTTATAACTCAAAATTCAGATTTACAGTTTTGGCACAGTTTGGTTAAACCTAATTTGAGATGGATTTGAGAATCAATGTTTTTTGTTTGATTTTTTTATTAATTTTATTGATAACTTATATAATTCTATTGAAAAATAATCCTTTTCTTTAGATTTATGTAGAATTATGATGAAATCAAATTGTTTCTGATTCCCAAGTTCTCTCTAAAAGTATCTTCCTAACTAAGAATCAAGGTGTACTACAGCCAATTATTATTCATGGGTAAATTAATTCAGTGCTGAGAAAGAATTAGTTAAATCACTTGGATTTATTATTTATACAAACTATTATGTAACTTCTCAAAACAGCTGAAAATTCATTAGTATATAGGAAAACCATATTTTTACAGTCACAAAAAAAAAACAAACCAAAACTCATTAATGCTGTATTTGTATTTGTCAATTTTTTTTAATAAGTAATGAGTTGTACATT